GAGGTTGCTGTAGTTTATTTTAGTTTTAGTAGGCTACAGCTCAATGCTCTGTTTATTTGCTGAGGGAATCTGAAAGAGGAATGATATTTTTGGTGGTTAAGGAATAATGCAGTTGCACTAAGCTGTCAGGTCTTTAAGATGTGGATGCGTCTTTGATCATAACAAGAGTTGCTTTATTCGTGTTTTTTTTTCTTTATGTTTATAATATTGAAATTTTAGGAGATCCTGCTTGTCTGATATATTAGTTCAATATGGTTGAGTATATGCGAAGTACATTGTTTTTACCTATCAGTTGTTATGATCGATTATTTTTAGAGAATTGATAAAATGTCCTTCTTTAGTATTGAAGGGAAAATCCTAGTATTTAAGTAATTTATTTATTAAGTTTTTGTTCAATCTACTGTCTCTGCTTGATCCTTTTACTTATTTTAAGATTCTCAAGTACCTGCAAATAAGTTGAGTGTAGAAGTCTTAGGTGTTATTGTCACATAACCTTTTCATGGTGATTGAATTTCTCTGCATGCACATCCTGCTACACACTTTTATCAATTTGAGAGTGTTTGGATGCACGTGTTTTGTTCATATTCCTTCGCAGTTAAGAGAAAAATTGTCCCCAAGGAAACCACGTGTTTCTTTCTTGGATATGTTTAGTCCGGGTATAGATGCTAAGATGTGAAATACAAGAGACTTGATGTATCCCTGAATGTTCTCTTTAATGAGGTCGCCTCATATTTTCCTTAATGTAATTAATCAGCCCCGGGGGAGAATGGTGATGGAGATGTATTTTCTGATACTCCATTTGAGACTATTGTGAATTGCATTTGTGCATCTTTTCTTTGAAATGTGCTTATTCCCTTTTGAAGTTCATGCTTTGATTAGCCTTTCATAATTGATACAGGAAGGGTTGGCTAATAATTTCCGCTTTACTATTATTAATGGGTTTTCGTGTTCTCTTCTCTTGATCATTTATATTTCCAAAATAATTAACTTTTCTTGTTATATATCCTCAAGCGAATAATATTTTTCTCTATAATCATTTACTGAGTGGCGGGGATGCCACCTTTTTTTCTTTTCCATTGTTGCACTCCTACTTCCACTTTATTTTGGGAGATGATTTGTTGTACATGCGGTGTACTTTTAGTTGGTACCTATGCTTGTGTCCTTGGGATGTTTGGTACTTCTCTCTTCAGGTTCTTTGTTATGGATTCAACATACATGTTTTGGTATAATATGTTATCGCTTATTTATTTATTTATGCCAAAACAGATACAATCTTTGGAGGAAAGTGCTGAAACATTAAGGGAAAGAAGTCTAAAATTTTACAAAGGATGTCGCAAATACACGTAGGCTTTTCTGAATTCATATTGTTGTTATTTCCCATTCAGTTTCTGTGTTAAATGAGAATATATGTCACTTATCAGTTGGATTTTCTTATATTTTTTCATGCAGTGAAGGACTCGGTGAGGGATATGACGGGGACATTGCCTTTGCAAGTGCCCTTGAAACTTTTGGTGGGGGTCATAATGACCCTATTAGTGTAGCTTTTGGAGGTATATGATTTTCGTCAAGTTTTATAGGGAGGTTCTTTATATAGAATGGTTCAGATATGAGCTTTCTTTTTTTCTTTTTGTTGGGAGCATTCACGGGACTGTAGGTCCTTGGGTTACATCTTTCTCTCATTCGAGAGTCATATAATAATCATGTTTATTAGTATGCTTCTTTAATTGTCTTCCAAAGAAAGTTAGTATAGCTGCTATTATTTTCTTTTTATTGAACCTCTGTTTGCTTTGCTAGGCCCTGTTATGACAAAATTTACAATAGCATTGAGAGAAATTGGAACATACAAGGAAGTTCTTCGATCACAGGTTTGTGAAAGTTTCAAATCCTTGCTAATTGAATAATTTACTCTTTCTCATGTCAATCCGATGCTATTTTCTGGTGGATGCTGGAAATAGTAAGTGTAGTGTGCTTATAAAATTTTTTTTGTCCTGGTCCCATATTGGAACTTCAGTTCTTGATTGCTATGTGTTAAATTTTTTTTTAGGATCATCTCTCCATTTTTCCAGAGTTTTTCTTGATAGTTTTAATTTAATGAATGAAGTGGTTCAATGTTTAGTCTCATATACATTTAAGCTTGACTTACTTTTTTTGTTTAATAAATATAGTAAGAACCTGAATGGAATCATATTTCTTAACTGTTTGTCTCAGGTTGAGCACATGCTAAATGACAGATTACTGCAATTTGTCAACTTCGATTTGCAGGAGGTCAAGGTACTGTAAGTTGCTAGTTCTTCCTTGTTAGACTGCAACTTTGGTTCCAGTTTATTTTTGTCTTTTGATACAAGTACCAGAACCAGTTGAAGATGGTCTTTGGGTATTTAGGAAAATCGAGGACAGATTCATTTCCAAATAAAAGAATAAAGCAGGTTTTTATGAATTGATTATATAATTTTGTATTACTCGAAGAGACTCAACTGGCGGTAAAGTTTAGAGTTCAGCATCAGCGTATAGCAAATTTGTCTTCCTCTTGGGGATCAAGAAGGATACGATCTTTTATTGGCAAGGAATAAATTCCCTCCAAAATTTCTGGAAGGAGAATAGTTAGAGACTGCCACTGAGACCTAGTAGAAACTCTTGCTTCATTTATACTTAAGTGTTTGCAAATCTGATGTATCCCATTTAGTAGAGTTTGGGAGCACATTATCTGCATGCAGGTTGAGAAGCCCTTGCAGGATGGAAAGGCAGGAGAATAGGTTTCTCCATAAGAGATGTTCTATTGAGTGGGCAAGTGGGATACACTTTAGAAACTGAAGTTCAGTTAAATGTTAGAGATCTTAAAGGAGTTCAAATTCACATATTTTTGCTGTTAATCATGGTTGACTCCATTCTATCTTTTGGAGATTATCTAGGATGGTTAGCCTTTGCATTTGCAGTTTATTTTCTGTTTATTTGTTTCTTCTATTCTAAGAATATCTTTTCTTAGTGCAGGAAGCACGGAAGCGCTTTGACAAGGCTAGCCTTCTTTATGATCAGGTGCATGTCTCATTCTCATATTAGGTTTTTTATTTTCTAAATAGAAAAGAAAGAATCAATCAGAAAATAACTTAGGAGTGTTGTGCAAAAATAAGAAACTACTTAGAAGTCAATAAATATCCTCGGTGTTAGTTAACTATTTTGCCCTTACTGATGAAGGTGATTTCACGTGTAATTATTTGAGGGAAAAAATATAATTTCTTTCATTGGAATGAATATGATTGTCTTATAATGAACAGGCATAGATTTAAAACAAACACTGTAGAATAGCTTATGTGAACATGAGGAAAATTGTCATCTGTTGGAAGTAAGAGGATGGGGTTTGTTTATGATGACTGGGGTTTGGGAATGAAAAAAATCAGCTTTAATTATATAATTTATCCAAACATTAACATGGAGCAGGGGAACAATGGGTTTGAGTGAATAAGTTGGGGATTTGCTACATCTACTTTTTTTTTTTCTGCTTAAAGGGCACTCAACCTCCCAACCTCATACCGTGGTGAGGAAGTACCCGACCAACTTAACTGGAGTTACTGTGTGCATCTACTTTTCACTTTTCGGCTAACTGGAAAGCTGCTCAAGGAGCACTTGAATCTCAACCTCACACTGAGGTGAGGAAGTACCAATCAACTCAATTGGAGTTGGTGTGTGTGTCTACTTTGTTACTAATATTCAGTAAATAAAATTATTTTCTGAACAATAGTTTTTCTTTTTCCCTTTCTGTTGTTGGAGCAGAAATTCTCAATTGCCTTATCTGATTATTGATTGACATATTAAGAAGTGGATGCATCTTCCTGATGCATTAAAGCCTATACCTAATTCCTATCTTGTTTCTTACAGTTTTCTTTGATACAAAATAGCCGTCTCTAGATGAATGTTGGTGGTTAATGGATCGAGTGATTGACAATAATAATATCATATATAAGTTTTTTCTATAGTCAAAGTAACATTAAATTTGTAGTTGTATTTACATAGTCAAAATGTTCCAGGCTCGTGAGAAGTTTCTATCACTGAGGAAAGGCACAAAGAGCGATGTGGCTGCGATTTTAGAGGAGGTATTATTCATTATGAATCTGAGCCTACTTCTTGAATGATATTGTGGATACAGCAAGAACAGCTCTGGGTTTTCTGTTCATAAAGTTTTAATGTAGTTTGGAGATGTTTCAGGAACTTCATAGTGCAAGGTCTACTTTTGAACAAGCTCGCTTCAATTTAGTAAGTTATTTGTTGCAGATTCTCTATTGAATTTGTGTTTCATTGCCAGTTCCAGACTTTTTCAAGTTGATGTTTCACCACTAGGTTTTCATATCATTTGATCTCTTTGTCTTAAGGTAACTGCTCTTTCAAATGTCGAAGCAAAGAAGAGGTTCGAATTCTTGGAAGCAGTCAGTGGAACCATGGATGCACATCTTCGTTACTTCAAACAGGTGGATCACATGTCAGGATTAATTTTAAGTTCTTTTACTTTTGTTATCATATAGATGCATGATCTGAATCATTTCACATGTAGGGGTACGAGTTATTGCATCAAATGGAGCCATACATTAATCAGGTTTGTATCAGAGTTTTATTTATTATCTAGCATCATTTTGGTTGTTCTCAACAAATTGATGGCATACTGTTATCTTATCTTCTTGCAAATCTTTACACAAATAAGAAGAAAAATATGAAAAAATTTACCCAATTGGAAATATCATCTATAGTGCTTTTGAAAGGCTGGGATAATAGAGGAAGATCCATATCTGAATAAATCAATCTGTTGTGCCTATAATTGGTCTGCAGGTCTTGACTTACGCACAGCAATCAAGAGAGAGATCCAACTATGAACAGGCGGCACTTAATGAGAGGATGCAAGAGTATAAAAGGCAGATTGATAGAGAGAGTAGGTGGTCTTCCAATGGTTCCAATGGATCTCCAAATGGAGATGGTATTCAGGCCATTGGTAGAAGTTCACATAAAATGATAGAGGCAGTTATGCAATCTGCTGCAAAGGGAAAGGTTTGAAACTGTTTCTAAGTCAAGGAACTCTATTAGTGAGAATTTTTATTTCTTGATTCTTTTCCATACTTTACTTTCCTAATTTTATTGCATAAAGAAAATATGAAGATCAGAAAATCCTCTTGCTTTCCTATTTTCAGGTTCAAACGATACGACAAGGTTATCTTTCAAAACGTTCTTCAAATTTGAGGGGAGATTGGAAAAGAAGATTTTTTGTTCTTGATAGCCGAGGAATGCTGTATTATTACCGAAAGCAGTGCAGCAAATCATCTGTTAGTTCATTCCCTTTTTTTAATTAAAAAATATAGTTTCTGTCAAGGTAGTTTCAATATTTTTCTTTCTGGTTCTTATTTGTTGTACTTGTGATATTGTTTTAGGCGTCTGGCAGTCAACTTTCTGGTCAGAGGAACAGTTCTGAGCTTGGATCTGGGTTGCTGAGTCGGTGGCTATCTTCTCATCATCATGGTGGAGTACATGATGAGAAGTCTGTTGCTCATCATACAGTAAACCTGCTTACATCAACAATTAAAGTTGATGCTGACCAGTCAGATCTGAGGTTTTGTTTCAGGATCATTTCACCAACAAAGAATTACACTTTGCAGGTATGAATTAAGATGTAGCTTGTAAGTTAGTAGTTGGAACCTTTAAGCTCATGGAATTTTGGGAGCAATATTTTTTGTAAAATATCTTTTCATAAAATTTTTTTTGCCATTTATCTAAAAAAAAATTTGGTAAGAGATTTTTCAGAAATTGGCCGATTACAGTATACTGGTGGTTCGTCCTCAAGGACATTTAATTGTGCTTGTCAGTACAGGCAGAGAGCGCTCTTGATCAAATGGATTGGATTGAAAAGATCACTGGAGTTATTGCCTCATTACTTAGTTCTCAGGCTCCTGAGCGGGTGATTCTTTAAGTTATTCCATGTTTGTTTTCTTTTAATTTTGACGATCATCTCGATGATTATAGCCAATTATATTCCAGTGTCTGCCTGCTAGTCCCATGGGAAGTGGTCACCATCGATCTGCTAGCGAGAGTAGTTCATTTGAAAGTTCTGACTTCGACCACAATACTGCTGAAGAATATCCATTAGACAGGAGCCTTGTTGGTGGACATCATGAACGTCCATTGAGAAGTTCGCAACAGCAACGGTCCAATGTTAAAAGCGAGAAGCCAATTGATGTTTTGCGAAAAGTATGTGGGAATGATAAATGTGCTGATTGTGGTGCCCCTGAACCAGATTGGGCTTCCTTAAATCTCGGGGTTCTTGTTTGCATTGAGTGTTCTGGTGTTCACCGTAATCTTGGTGTTCATATATCAAAGGTAAGCTTGATAAATTTGACTAACTGGCTATTTTCTGTTCTTTTGGAGGAAAAATCAAATTGATGTAAACAACCACCGAGAGAGTGCATGCAAGGATAAAGTTTGTTGGCTATCCTTCTGCTAAAGAATTTGTGGATGCTTAATGGTGCATACGTCTCTAGTAACACCAATAGAATTAAAGCGTCTCTAAAAATTGCTTTGATTATCAGTAAATTTGAAAATATGTACTCTGCTTTTGTGAATTCTTTATTTTGACTCAAGGACATTATGGAGCAACCTTTTGTGTTTAAAGTAAGCCAGAAAATACTGGCTCAATGGCACTGCTTCTTTCTGTGGTGATCCTGATCTCACCATTATATGTCCCGAGAAAAAATCCGAAACCATTGTTAATGGTAGTTTGATAATTTATTTTACTCTTATTCTTGTGGTTTGGCTGCTGCTGCAGGTAAGATCGCTTACTCTTGATGTAAAAGTGTGGGAGCCTTCTGTTATAAGTTTGTTTCAGTCTCTGGGCAATACCTTCGCTAACTCAGTATGGGAGGAATTATTACAATCAAGAACTGCGTTCCAGGTTGATCTTGTCACAACAGGGTAATTAATTCCTTTAGTTATTGTAGTAGTTTTCTCATCATTATACCAATACAAAATTATCATGCAAATTGTGTCGCTGACATTCACTTGTTTTGCTGCTGAAGCTTGTATAAGGCTGATAAACCACAGCTACTTTTTATGGGCAAACCTGGTCATGCTGATTCTATATCAGTGAAGGAGAAGTATATTCATGCAAAGGTATAACCTTCAATTCTGATTTTAGGATTTGGAGAATTTCTTTTTTTTTTTTTTTGGATAAAATAATTGCTTTTAACTCGCATGGAATATCTCTTGAACTTGCATGTTGTTTCCCTTTAAAGTTAGGTATAACATAAATGGTCAATTTATATAAAAAAGAAAAGTAGATAAAATAATAATTCCACTTTCATTACCACTCACATTTCTACTATTCTGTTTCTTTTACAAAATATACAAGGTATTATTGCTCTTCTTAAATATACCTCAATCAGCCTCAACTCCCTAGGAAACGAGGTAAATACATCTTAATCATATTTATTTGCTGTATATGTCAAAGATAAAGATGTCCTCAGACCACTTTGACCCTTTTATTGCTTGAATCACTAGGCCCTAAAAGAGTGATAACTTGATAGGAGGCAGCACTGACATTTGGCTTTATTTGTTTGGAAATGCTAAGATTTCGTGGAGGCATCTCGCTGCTGAGTCTGTGAGAGAAAAAATTATTAGTTTTTTTAATGATTGTGATCCTTTTTTTTTAATTTATCGAAAGGTGGAGGGTTATGGAGGCGTATGCCTCTGAGGCATGATTACTTTTCCCTTGTTTGTAAGGTTATCCGTGTTATCATCTGGGCATAGAATTGAATATTATATAATCATATAACTGAATGGCCATTACTGCTACTTTGTGGAGCAGCTTTTTATGCCATTTTGAGTTTCATTGCACCACTGAATATATGCTTTATTTTAAATTATAACAAGAGGTAAAAAGTTCAGGATGTCAATCAAATTGCCCATATCCGCGTCAGTATAAAACAAGATGTCCCTTTACCAAAAAAACCTAGGCTTTTGAGCCAAGTATCTTTAGTCTATCAAAAGACAATTCTGTACTCTCAAAAGCTCTCGTGTTTCTCTTTCCATGACTTTTCTATGTTATTTCATAGGATCTGTTTGGCTATGTAGGTTTTTTCACACTAGGGCACAAATGAATTAGTTCAGATGCAAGAGGTTCATTATCAACATAGTAATGTAGTGGATGACAATCTGTTTGGCTTATCAGTTATTCCCTCAAGTCAAAGGTCTTGAGTGTCTGAAGTCATAGAAATTGCCTTATGGATAAGGAAAGTTGCTTATATGTGTAGGTGAAAAAGGTTAGAGGTAAATTGGTGATGCCTGTAAGGAGAGAAAGAAAGGAACTATATGGCATTCCTGT